TAATGGCCTCCTGCAAACTCCACTCCCCTTTCGCTCCTCTTTTATTTCCTCTAGGAGGGGCCATTCCTCCTCCACCTGTGGCCTTACTCCCACTTCGACCCCTGTTCTTTAGCTGTTCCCTTCGTCTGGCAACTCTGCGCATACGCACACTGGGAACAGGCTCCAGCTGTTCTTCTGCCTCACTTATGTCTGACTCCGAAGGCAGCTGATAACTTGCCTACGGCTCTGGCCCCATCTCTGCCTCCGACACAGAGCCCTCGTCCGAGCTTTCCCCAGACTCCAGCACTGGCCCATGTTCCTCCCCAACCCTCCTCACTGTCCGAATCTGCTGCCAACTCCGCTGGCCACTGGCAGGCCACAACAATAAGTCACTTTTTTTCAGTAGCATTGTAACTTGGGACAGTCGCTAAATGAACTCTTTGTAAGGACGACCTGTAGATTAAGCCAAACGATTAAAAACTGTGCCTATTTGAGCTATCTGCTAAGTCTCTGCAGCAGCGAGTTTTTATAGACCAGGTTGCTGCTGAAATGCCGGGACCGGTTTTTCATCTAATAATTCATAGACGACGAGGTTTTGTGAATGGCCTCCACCGATGTCTCCGTGGCTTATCCTAAGGCTGTGTTCTCTTCTTCGTTGGTCTGCTTTAGCCTTCAGATTCCGCTTTTTCATAGATTGATAAGGGTTACTTATCGTTTCCACTCTGTGAGCCCTTTTTCATACTGAAGCAAGATGCTAATGGAGAATGAGAAAAGGCGAGCTTCCCTGAAGGAAGGGCTGAAGAAGGACGTTATTGGGAGAAAATATGATTTACCATTTATCCCTCGGTTGTTTGTAAATTGCGCCGGAGACAAATTCCTTATAGGTCCAATTGCACAATAAAAAGCCTGTTTTGTTCTGTTCTGTTCTATGCCATGCCATATTCCCACGATGGCGAACTGATGAGGGCACGTGAGACATTGCCCTGTGAGCTCCAGCGAACATGCACACGCCGGGCACTGATTTTCAGCCTTGATTTTTGGCCGTTTTTCGCCCTTCGGAGGGTGAAAAACGGCCCAACGCACAAACCGTTTCCAAACTTCCAGTCTGCATATTGGGCCGTTCTTCGCCCTCCCCGGGCTCCTAGAAAGCCTCTGGAGCCTGGGGAGGGCGAAAAACGGACCGACCGGGCCCAACGGAAGTCAGAAAAAGGGCCATTTCCCGCCTCTGGGGGTTCTTTGGGGGGTGGGGAAGCATTTTCGTCCTCCCCAGGCTCCAAGAAAGCCTTGCAGGCATACACGGGGCAACAAGGGGGGTGCAGGGGGCAAGGCACGGGCGGGCATTAAATTATGGGGGTGGGCATAACGGGTGCTTTTGGCACCCGAGGCGAAAAAGGTTCGCCATCAGTGCCATATTCCATTCCTGTTCCTCTATTCCATTCCATTCCATTCCTTTCCTTCTCTATTCTATTCCATTCCATTCCATTTTTTCTATTCTATTCTATTCCATTTCATTCCATATTCTGTTCCATTTCATTCCATTCCTTCTCTATTCCATTCCATTCTCTATTTTCTTTTCTATTCTATTCCATTCCATTCCATTCCTTCTCTATTCCATTCCATTCTCTATTTTCTTTTCTATTCTATTCCATTCCATTCCATTCCTTCTCTATTCCATTCCATTCTCTATTTTCTTTTCTATTCTATTCCATTCCATTCCATTCCTTCTCTATTCCATTCCATTCCATTCCATTCCATTTTTTCTATTCTATTCTATTCCATTCCATTCCATATTCCATTCCATATTCTCTATTCCATTCCATTCCATTCCATTCCATTTTTTCTATTCTATTCTATTCCATTCCATTCCATATTCCATTCCATATTTTCTATTCCATTCCATTCCATATTCCATTCCATTTTTTCTATTCTATTCTATTCCATTCCATTCCATATTCCATTCCATATTTTCTATTCCATTCCATTCTCTATTTTCTATTCCATTCCATTCCATTCTCTATTTTCTATTCTATTCCATTCTATATTCTATTCCATTTCATTCCATTCCTTCTCTATTCCAGTCCATTCCATCCTTGAAATAATAATAATAAAATATTCAAAAGGTGGTAGTTTATACTGATTAGGTCAGGAACAGAGCTAGTGGGTTTCTCCCATCTTTTAATCTGATTTTATGTCTGTGCTTTAAATCCTATGTACCAGCCTGCTGTTGTTTTCTTTTCTAAAATTCTTGCCGTGTTCCATAACATTTTCAGATTCATTTCTGCAGCCCACGCTGAATCAATTATCCTCTTTCATAAAAAAATGTTTGAATGAAAAGCCCAGAAAAGACTTGGAAATTTGTTCAAGCGCTGTAGCTTCTGAATATACATATATTCGTAGTTAGTTAGTTTACTTCATTGATTACTTCATGGACTTTGGGTCTTATCAAAGGGCAGAGTTCCAGACAGAAATTATTACTGAAATCTGATAAAATGCAATTTAAAATGGAATTGGACAAAATACAATTGAAAATGAAATTGGAATAAAATACGATTTGAAATGAAATGGGAATAAAATAGTTTTAAATGAAATTGGAACAATGTACGATAATTTAATATGTAGAGAAATAAAATGTGATCAAATTATATTTCGGTATCACCCAGAGATGGGTTGCTTCCGGTTTTACTATCGGTTTGCGTCACACGCGCTTTGCATGGGCGCATTTCCTTCATGCGCGCACGTGCACAGTTCTATATAAATTGTTCTTCACGCATGCGCAGAACAATTTACAGTGAACTGTGCACACGCACTACTAAACAATATGCTGGCAACGGCAGCAGCGACCAGGGAACCGGTTTAGGGGTGTGGCCAGCCTGGATCCCTGCGGGTTCTGCGACCCAGGCCAAAATACCACTACCAGTTTTGCTGAACTGGGCCGAACCGGCAGCAACACATTTCTGGTATCACCTCTAAAATCTCCCCCAGAGGTGTCAAACTCAAAGTCCGTGGGCCACAGGGCGCTTGGATCTGGCCCGTGGGTGTGTCTTGGAAACAGCAAAGGACTGGCCCATGGTGCCTCTTCCAGAGAATGGAACTTGGGAGGGCCACACACAGCCTTCCCGGGCTCTCTTGTAGGCTGCAACAGCCTCCTGTAGTCCTCTAACAGTGAAAACGGAGCTCGGGAGAGCCGCATGTGGCCCTTATGGGCTCCGTTTTCACTGGCAGAGAGCTGCAGAAAGCCGGCACCGCCAAAAACAGAGCCTCAATGAGTAACATCGACCTGGCCATGCCAACCCTGGCTATACACAAACCGCCCCTCTGAGGTGAAACACAACCCTGATGCGGCCCTCAATGAATTCAGGTTTGACACCCCTCATCTATCCCAATCAGTCCCACATATGCCGATCTGAACTGAACCATTTTGCTCAAGTAGTGTGCTGCGTTAAATGTTATTTTCAGATTCCGGCCGCACATAAGGGAAGTTGTTTTGATATGGGGATCCCAGTGGGGCATTCGTTTGGTATAGAGACAGAGGTACCTGTCTCTCCTCCTCTTATACAGGCAACTGCCAAATAGGATGTGAGCCAGTGGTGGGATTCAAATAATTTAACAACCGGTTCTCTGCCCTAATGACCAGCTGCGTAGGCAGGGCTCGGTGGTCATGTGACCATGTGGGCGTGGCCAACTCAACGTCACTCACACCGATGGGCGCTGCTTCGAAGGCCTTAGGTGTTACAATGTAATAAGGGTTAGTGGAGAGGCAGTTTCTGTAAGCAGGCAATAGAGATGAGGCTAGAAACAACACCAGGATGTTTCCTTCCTGCCTTCCTTACCGGATTAGCCCTGTAAAGTGGAAAGAAACAAAAGGAGATTTCTTCCAACCGTCGGTTCTCCGAACTGCTTAGAAAGTTAACAACCGGTTCCCCCGAATAGGTGCGAACCGGCTGAATCCCACCACTGATGTAATCCATATATACCCGTGTTTCCTTTGTAGGCCAGAGCCTCAACAAAAAGTTCCCTCTGCACCGCCGCCGCCTCCTCCGCCGCCTCCACCACCGTTGCCGGAACCGACGCCGCCAGAACCGGAGGAAGAAATTCTAGGATCCGATGATGAAGAGCAAGAAGATCCTGCGGATTATTGCAAAGGTTAGTTGGTGCAAAGTAAGATTTATTTATTTATTTATTTGTCTTGTATGCCGCCCACTCNCACTCCCACCAGGTCACATGGCCGGCAAGCCGCTCCCACAAAGGAGGCCACACCCACAGAGTAGGTTCGAAATTTTTTTGAAACCCACCACTGCTTGCTAAGTATAACTTATCTGGAAATCTGTTTTTTTCACTCTACATTAACAAAAAGATGAGGGACTCAGTCTAGCAATGTAGCCTTAATTACTGTTGCTCCAATATAACTTCATTTGATTACTTGCCTATGTTGTACTTGGGGACTGTCCTTTAACATTGATCATAATATAATTGCAATGTTTCTAATTTAAGATTGTCATGTAAAATAATTAAGACTTGTAAGTAGGTAAAAAAAAAACAAAAAAACTGGTCTGATTCATGTTCCTGCTTTTAGGCACAGTGCAAAGTATTGATCCTTACCATAGAAATTGGATGTGTTAGTTTCCACGTGACTGTCGGAAGAAATAAAATTCATGGTACTCTTCTGAATATCCTCCACTGTTTGAGAAATGTTGATCCCGTGTTACCCTTAGAAGTCCCACAAGTTGGTACAACATTGCCTATTTTTCACTTTCTACTCATCATGAAAGAAATCTTGGGGCCACATTTTGTAGCTGCGGATTTAAAATAACATTTTGCTCTTATGGCTCAAGTCATACTCTTTTGGCTGGATCAGTTTATAACCTTAGAGCTAACTTGGGAAGTTCATTGGTTCTTTGGAAGGGAAGTAATCCTAACCCTTACTTCTTCCAAGGATTTCCTTTAATAATTGGTCCTTGGGCAGGTGGGAATTCGAGTGACTGGAGAAATTATGAAATATTGCAACAATAAACTTCTTTGTTTTTATGTTGAGGGTGGAAACTGGCTAACTCACAGAAATAAAAATAGTACTTTATCTGTCCGTATGCTTTATCTGCCAGCTGAATTTCAAAGTAGCAACCTGCTATATCTTAGGCAAAGGTCACAACAACTGCACTATTTCAGAATTACTATTAATGGGAACTCTAAAACAGTGGTCACCAACATAGTCCATAGACCATTGGTGATCCGCAAGAAAATTTTGGAGATCCGCAAAATATATATATATATTTGCATTTTTATACTGCACTAAATGCTATTTTATCTTTTTAAAAAATTCATATTAGTGGTCCACGGGATTTAAAATTATGGATTTAGTGATCCCTGAGGTCCGAAAGGTTGGTGACCCCTAGAAGACAACTGGCTAGCAAGAAAAGGATTTTTATTTTCAAGGTGGTGGTTGTGCCTACATAGATGAACATTTCGATAGTTCAATCTGATATATGGAACTTTAAAAACTAACTTTATGTGAGTGTACAAATACACCAACGAAAGTATTAATATTTCAAAAGCCTTGCCGTCCACAGGGGAAAAAAAAAAAAGATTGGCAATTGTTTTCCAGGAACAGAAAGTTTGGAAAGCACACTAGCAGGGGTCTTGTTTGATGGAAGGATGCAAAAACGTGTTCTCTGGCTGAAAACATTGTCAGTTGTTGCCAAAGTGTCTCAAACCAGATAGAATTTTCTTAAACTCGCTTAGAGTCAAGCCAGTATGAATCAGGACGGGACCAGCTTAAGGGTACAATGTGGGTATGATCTTTTTCTCCATCATGGAAAAACAAATAACTTTTAGTGAATTTTTTTTCCTCTTACTTCTATCCTTCTGCTTTTATACTTGGATATCTGTAAATTTTTCTGAATCTATCTGGCCAAGGCTGAATAAATGTCATCATACCATGACTTTATAAACCAATTAATAATATATTAAGTTTTAACACTTTCTACTATGCTAAGTGTATCCAGATTAAAGCCTTGGTCAAGGGTTTGTTTTAAAAAAAAAATATAATTACTGAGCATATGTATTTTTTAAAAAATCTGATCCCTGAAGTTCATAATTATCTTCTTAAATTTACTGCATTAATAAAGAAAAGGTCAGTTTTCACAATTTTTATGTTTTCTGCAATCAAGTCCTTTTTTTTAATACTTGTGGATCTCAAGTAAATGGTCGTATAGATACACAAAGGAGCTACAAAGATATTATTACAATCATTATGACATCAGTCAAGCATAAATTGGTACATAACTTGCTACTGGTCATCTTTCTTAATACTACGATCTATTATATGAGGATTGCTATTTCTGCCTAAGCTAAGCTATAGGATAGACCCGTGATGGTGAATTTATGGCTCGCATGCCACAGGTGGCACATGTACAGATATTTGCTGGCACACCACCTGTCAGTGCCTACATGCGCTGCCCAACTGATTTTCAGCCTTCCAGAGGGACAGGGGGAGTCTGTTTTCGCCCTCCCTAGGCTTCAGGAAAGCCTCCGGAGACTGGGCAGGGTGAAAAACAGGCCCAATGGCCCAAGCAGAAGTTCATTCTCTGCGTGCACATGTGCAGGTGGGCAGGGAGAATTGAATTGGTGTGGGCACGTGTGTGGGCATGCATGTGGGCCCGTGTGCACACAATTCTGGCACGCCATAAGAAAAAGGTTCGCCATCACTGGGGTAGACCAAACATTTGAAAATAAAATTAAAAAACAAAAACCTGGATGCAAATGATTAATTAAACAGATAGCAAAATAACTAGATACTCAGAAATAACTAACATTTTTCAATAAGCAAACTTTATGATATAAAGCACAAATCATTAAAATAGCAGCAAAGGAAAACACACAAACACACACACACACACAAACACACACACACAAAGGAAAGCAAAGACCCTGTTTTTTTTTCTGCCAGAGTTTTCAAAATGCCAACTTTGTTTCCAGATTTCACAGAAAGAATATCTCGATTTCTTGACATCCTTTCCATTTTCAGCAGCAAAGAAAACTACAGAATATCTATCAATGAAGCATGCATCCATGCATGCACACGCGCACACACACACACACACACACACACACAAACAAACATACATTGAATTGACAAGTCTCTAAAGAATCATTTTAGTTACTGAAATCAGCTATAAAGTGATCTAAATTGCAGGGATTGTTTGAAAAAAAATATCCCATATTTTTCTTTCTTTTACTTAAAGTATCTTAAGTAATTTTATATCAGCAATAATCTTTACATGAGTGTCAACTTTCCACAGTTTTCTTTCAGATTTTTAAAGATGGGAAAAGTCTTCTAAGAATTCCCTGTGTCCTCTTCATTCTTGAAGCAGGAGCCTCCTCATGAGGCAACTCCGATTTATACCACCAGAAGGAGATGCAGTTTTAATATATTCTTTAATTATGCCACTATTTCTGTGTATCTGTTGTTCACAAAACATATTTCTTAATTAATTTTAAAGAAGAAAAAAAAATCTAGATAATTTCCTTAATGATAATTCTACTCCTGCTATGTTGTTCTTCTGGTTGGTTACTTTGAAGATATTTTTTTTTCTCCAAGAAGATTTCTAATAAACATAAAAAAACATAATTATTTCCATGGAAATTCTGTTTGATTTTTAAACAAATGTGCGTGCCCTTGCTGCTTTGATAAAGCACGATGGATTAGTTATGTATTTGAAGGAGGAACACTTGAATGGCGTTGACTCTTATTATAAAACAACAAGCAACCAATCTCGATGTTGGCTGTGTAGCTCCTTGAATATCCTCTTCCACAAACTTGGCCACTTCTCACGCAATTTATGTTTGAACTTCAGAGCTACAAGAAGGAGAAATTAACACTTGGATATTTTGTTAATACTCCAAACAAGCTCCTAATCAAATGCCCTCTGACTGGAAGTAGAAAGCATAATTCCGCATAGCTTTTGAAAATGCATCTGGCTCTTTAGATTTCCATAGCTATGATGCTCAGTAAGAACTCTTATGCACCAGAAGCTAGCCTACTGTACATAATTAAAGGCAGGTCTTTTTATTCTCACACATTGATATCTTATCCTGGATATCAAATGATCTCAGGCAAAACTGTAATGGTCATGACTCTGCTGTAACTTCTAAAACGAGGAGAAAGGAGGTGAATTGCCCAAATTCACCCTTCCCGCCATTCCAATTCTACTGGTATTTCTCACCTCCACGCCACCAATATCACAATTACAATTCATTTTAACTTTCAGGAGTTAAAATTGGACTTGTTAGGTATATAGGTTTTTGTTGTGGCCTAGCAGGAGCCAGACTCCAACAGCGAGGTAAGACTCCAATGAGTTGGCTCTGGAGGATGTGGAGGACCCTGGAAAGGATTCCAACTCCGAGCAGGGCACAGAGAGGCTGGTTGGCCACCAGGTGGGGCCTGAGCCTTGGACCAGTGGGGAGGAGA